CCCCCCCCCCCCCAACCTCTCTGGGCGGTGCCCTGGGAGGGCCGAGAGCCCTCTGCCCACAGACCGGAAGCCCTGGGCCCCTCTGCGCTCCAGTTCCTGCACTGGGACGAGGGCGAGTCCCCCCCCACCCCCACCGCCCTCCGCCTGGGAAGCTGGTTCCCCTTGTTGTGCAGTCAAGGACTGTGTGTCCAGGGAACAGCGACTGCTGGTGGGGTGCGTTTAGGGTTAGGAATTGAGTTCCCACCCAGCTGGTAGGTCGGGAGGGAGGGGTGCAGAGCCGGAAGGCCAGCAGCCTGAGGAGTTAGGCTCACACCTCTGCGGGACCTTCTTTGCTGGGGGACCTTGGGGAAGATACTCGCTGTCTCTGTGAAATGGGTCTGATGATGGCTCTGGGGGAGGCTTGGGGCCCAGGGGGATGACCAGCTTGCCTCACGCTGGCCTTCTTGGTGAGCAGCTGGGTGAGGGCTCTGTGTGTGGGGGGTGATCTGGGGCTGAGGATGCCCTGGGTACACCCCCTTGTCCCAAGAGCTGCCAGAATCCTAGACCCAGCGTTGCCCCAAGGCACTCCCGTCCATTCCCCAGCTGAGACCATTTGCTGGAACCGTCTCCCAGCTGAGGGGCATCCCGGCTCCTCTGGGGACCCTGGGTGGGGCCTCACAGGCTGGGTGTCTTGGGGCCCCTTCCTCCTACGGTGGAACCGTGGAACCGTGTCCTCTGTCTTCTGGGAAACTGGGCAGGGGAGGGTGGGGAGCTGAGCCGCTTCCTCCGCGGTCGCTGTGGGAGAGAGAGGGAGGACAAGTTTCCTGAGCGCTTCTGGTCCCCCGGGGGCTGGCCTCTGAGGAGGAGAAAACCAGGACACCGCGAACCAGTCGGGCAGGACAGCCTGGGGGCGTGGGGCTGGAACCTGCTGGGTTGCCCCTCCTCTCTGCCGTAGCCCCTCGCAGCCGTCAAGGCAAGGGGCAGGGGCTCGCATACTGGGGGCAGATATGCTCCTGAACTTGTGAAATAGAGCCACCGTCGTGGTGACAATGAAGTGACTTCGAGAGCGAGCGCTTGGTCAGCGTTCGGCATCTACCCAGCCGTGAGCCTGCCGAGGCCGGCAGGTGTGCTCTGTCCTCAGTTCTCACTGCAGCTGCAGGACGAAGGCGAGGAAAGTGAGGCACGGAGAGGCGAGGGGATCTGCCTCCACAGCTGGACAGAGGACCTGGTGTGCCTCCAATCCTGGACAGCCTGTGGTGAGTTTTCCGGGTGGCCTCGGCCAGGCCAAACCCACCAGCTGCCTGGGGCCGGGAGCCTGGGGCTGGTGGGGACTGCAGACCACTCTGTCTGAGCTGTCAGCGATCTGGGCGGCGGCCAGAAGGCCATCCTCCTTGGTTAGAATCCTGCAGCCAGTCTCCCTGCTGTGCAGACACATAATTATATTTCACATTAAAGGGGAAGCTGGAGGCTGAGGGGGCCAGAGAGCCCTTTGAGGCTTGTGCGCTGAGCACGAACCTGCCTCCTCGGCCGAAATCTGTGGCCCCAGAGCTGAGCAAGGGGTCAGACTGGTGATAAAATGGGGTCTCCCTAGGCCAAGGCCCAGCTGGGCAGGTCTGTCTGCCGGGATGAAAGGCCTGGGCCCTGCCCAAGGCTGAGAGATCTGAGGCCCAGACAATAGGCCCCAGGAGGCTTGGAGGGCAGGGCTTGTGGGGACAGGCTGGGAAGAGGCAGAGGCAGTGGTGGCAAGAGAAGAGGGTCACATGGGGGTCAGGTCTGCAGAGAAAGCGGGCAGGGGGAGGAGCACAAAGAGAAAGCAGGAGAGGAAAAAGCCAAGCAGAGCACCAGATGAGGAGAGAGATGCTATTAAAGAGGGGGGAACGCTTGTGTCCCAGTGTGCATGCCTGGGGTGCAACGGGAAAGGAGTCCATGGGAATGTAAAAGCTGGGACCTGTGTGCACATGTGCCCTCCTGCAGCTGTCACCCTTGCACGTGCATGTATGAGTGTGTATTGCACCTGCAACCATCATGCATGTCACGGCATGCATTTTGCATGTGTGGATCCAGACGCCTGAGCTTACGTACTCGGCTGTGTGCGCACGTGTGTGTGCAAGATTTCCTTTCCTGTGTGTGCGCTCGCCATGCACCTGTGTGGGTCTCTGGGCGGACATGCCTCTGTGTGTGTGTGTGTGTGTGTGTGTGTGTGTGTGTGTGTGTGTGCACGCGCGCGCGCGCTCCAGTGCGCAAGTGGCTGGCCGTGTGTCTGTGTGTGGAGGGGGGCCGGGGCCGGGGACGCCGGGCCAGGCCTGGGCTGGGTGGGCGGGGGCAGCGGCGGCGCGACGCGGGGCGGGCGTTCTCTCCGCGGAGAGTTAGAGTTGTTGCCGAGCTGGGTTCTGGTGACAGCCGGGCGCGGAGCTGGGTGCGCGCCGAGCCTCAGCTTCCCGCCGCCTCCTCGCCCTCCATTCCGCTCTCCCCGCCTTCTCCGGGCCTTGCCGCTGCCACCGCCTTCCCGGGAACGGCAGCCGAGGGCGAGGGCGACGGGCCGGAGGGGCCGGAGCGGGCGTGGAGACGCGGGGCGCCTGGGCGTGGGGGAGCGCGCCCGGCCCAGCCCGGGATCAGATAACAGCCGGCGGGGGAGGGGGTGGGTCGGCCGCACGCGCCGCGGGACTGAGGGACGGACGCCAGCCGCGCCGACCGGAGCGTGCGCCCCGCGACCGGGGGCGCCGTCCAGGCGCGCGCCCCCGCCCCGCGACCGGACCGGGGCGATTGGCGCCCAGCACCGACGCTCCCCTCAGCATGGAGCGCCCCCGGGGGCTGCCCTGAGGCGGCGGCGGCGATGCAGGCAGCGCGGCGGCTGCCGGGGCCAGGAACGGCCGCCCGGAGCTCGGAGGACGCGGAGCGCGCCGCGCCCGGGGCACTGACCGAGGTAAGCGCCGGGGGACCCGGCTCCAGCTCCTCGCGGGCCCCCCTCCCGGCCGAGCGAGCACGAGGAGGTGCAGCAATTGGGAAGGTGGGGCGGCGGGGTCTGTTCGACCTCCCGTTTTCTGCTTTTCTCTTTTTTTCTTTTTCTTCCCCCTCCCTGGTGAGCGTTAGCAGGAAATGCTGACTGCGAGCTTTTCTCCTCTGCCATGTCTCCAGCCACCGCCGCCAGGGAACTTTGCTCCTTGCTAACCTTCGTCTTGGGGGCGCTCCGGGAAACTTTGAGGCGCCCTCGGTCCCCCTCTGAACGCCTCGCACGAGGGGGCTCGGGAGGGAGCGTGGGGAGGCGCTTCCGCAGGCGGTGTCAGTCTTACGAGTGACCTTCCCCGGAGACCCCCCGACCGGGGCGGGGGTGCCAAGAGGGGCGCGGACTACGGGCGGCCCGGAAAATGCCCCCAGGCCCAAGGGCTGCGGGTCCTTGGAGTCGTCGGTCTTTCCCACCTCCTGCGCTCTATTGGAGTAAAGATATTCTGGAAACGGTGTGGTCCTCTGGCGAGTGAGCCAGCCGAGGAGTCCAGCCGCACCTTTTTTCGCTTGTACAAGTCGGCCTTGATCGCTCAGGGGTGGTCGCTTGGCTGAGAGGCCCCGCGGGTTTCAGGGCCGGGGTCCCCTCACAGTGCTGACGTCTGCTCTGGATGTCCTGGGGCGCGGGGAGGGGCGCGGGGCGGGGGAACCAGCGGCAACTGGGTGGGGAGTTCTTGCGGGGCTTCAGATGGGATTTGAGGCCCCAGTGGGTGTCTGTGCTGCCTGTTCCGATGGAGTGTGCACATGTCATGTGAACATTTTAAAACCTGTGTTCAGGACTGGAGGTCACAGGGAAGTGTCTCTTTGGAGGTGGTCTTTGGTTCTGGGAGGTTCTCCTGCCTCCCCGTGGCCTGGATCTGCTGAGACCGGGGCCACCCTGCTCCCCGTTTCCCCAGCAGCTCTTCATCCGGGAGCCCTGCACTGCCTGGGACCTTTGCTCCGTTCTTCTCTGCTCCCCGTGCCCAGGACGGAGCCTGGAATAAAGTGCTGGGGACCTCCAGCCCCCCATATCCGCGTCGCGGAGCCCGGGTTCGCAGGCTCCGTCTCCGGGGAGCGCAGAGGCGCCCACACGCCGCTGAAATCAGCAGCCGCCTCCTCGAAGGCGCGAACCCAGGAGGCGGTAGCCTCCAGCCTACCCCTCGCCCGCTCCCTAGGTGCCGAGGACGGCCAGGCCCGGCTGCCGCCCCACTCGGACCTCAGCCTCTGCAGCCCGTCATCGCAGGTCTCCGCCCTGGACCGCCACCGCGGGGCTGGAGAGCGCCAGGGAGGGCAGAGCCCGAGGAGCGGCGGGGGCGTGTGGTCAGTTTGCGGCCAGCTCCTCCCCACCCCCGTCGTGAGAAGAGCGCCCTCACCGGCGCGCTGGGACCCCCCAGAGAAACTCCTCAGCGTGATCTGCCCCTCAGCCTTCTGGCGGCCCCTCCCCTCCAGCCAGGGGGCCGGGCGTCGGCAGCTCCAGGAGCGGGCCTCGGAAGGGCTCCGATCATGTGGGCCCCAGACCCCTGAGGGAGAGCAGGGTGCCAGGGGGCAGGGGCTTGCTTGGGCACCCCTGGGGACAAGAAGGGGCCTCCAGCGTGCTGGACAACAGGGGAGGTCCCTCCTCTCTAAGGGTGTGCCGCTGAGCGCGTGTACTGGGCACTCTATAGATGCTGGGTGTCGGCACTCACCTGGCAGACCTGAATTTCCAGTCCCGGACTCCCTCCTTGTGCCCCCCTCTCCAGATGAGGGCACAGCAGAGCCCCCTCCCAGCCCTGAAGGGGATGGACCTTCCCTCGGGCAAAGGGGCAGAGCCTAAGTTTGTCGGTCTATCCCTGGACCCCCCTCCCATGCCCAATTGCCATGTCAGACCCCCGTCAGCCTTCAGATTGCTTAGGAGGAGACCCCTCCTCGAGGTGTGTGCCCGGTGGAAGGATGTTCAGTGAACTGTGCTGTGCTGTGAGGGGGCAGGGTGCCCAGAGAGGGGCAGGATCTTGCCCAAAGCCACACAGCAAGTCAGGCCTTTGAGCGGAAACCTCCACCTAGCTCTCTCCAGGCCAGAGGGCTGCCCTGCCAGGTTTCCTGCCCCAGGGCCATGGTGTCCCTCCTCTCAAGTCTGCCCAGAGCAGGACAAGGTAGCACTGGTGGCCCTGAGGCAGTGAAATAATAGTGACAGCGGCGGTAACAGTAACAACACTAACTGACAGCAGCGCCCTGCGGTTATGCAGCATTGGGACCAGCTCTGCCTGTGGGCAGTTTCCTCTGGCCGGGCGAGGCCTCCGGTGCCCTGGGCCACAGCTGGCAGCACCAGGCCCGGCACCAGGAGGCCTTGGCACAGCGTCTAGGGTGGAAGCAACTGCACTGTCACTCCCAGCAACCTCTGTGGCCCTTGTCTGGCTCCAGGCCGGAGGCTGCTGGAGCCCCCCTCGGGGCCCGCCTGGTGTCCACTCTCAGGCTCACTGCTCCCAGCTCGGGCTGGGCCGTCCCTCCGACAGGTGCAACTGGCGCCTGTTGCTGGGTCCCTGCTGGGGCTTTTGCTGTGAGTGACGCCTGGGCACACCTGCCCCTGCCCCGGGGCTGCAGCTGGAGCCCTGTCTCGGCCGGCATGGAGGAGAGGCTGGGAGAGAGGCAGCTCGTGGGCAGCAAGAGGGGTAGAGGCTGGCTGGCCGCTCGGAAGGTGTGCGAGGTGTGGGCTCGGTCCACGGGATGGCTGCTCCAGGGCAGTTGGCCGTGTGGCAGGGAGGCAGCCAGGGGAAGGCCAGAGATGAAAGAAAGCCAGCCTGAAACTGGGCCGCAGGCAGGGCAGGAGGCCCGGAGGCTTCAGAGGAGCCGTGGGGCTGGGGCTGGGGGTGGGGGTGGGGCTGGCTAGGCAGGAGGGTTTTCCAGAGGATCTGGGGCCGAGGGCAGAACTGGAGCCCTCGCTGGGCACTGGCTGAGGGCCCAGCACTCTGCCAGCTGATTTAATTTCCTAATGGTCTGCTAGTGCAGGGGATGGCAGTAGCTCCGTGAGGCCCAGGGAGGCTCTGGGAGAGACTGGAACGCGGCTCGGACCCAGAGCCCACCTTCCTGCATCCCACAGACGGCCTGCGCAGAATGCATCCGTGTGCCAGGCTGTCTGTGGGGGCTTCCCCCCTACCCGCCCAGGGCTGGTCCCCTACGGGCCCTGGTGCCTGCCTGCCGTCCCAGATCCCAGGTTGCTGTGTCCCCGGGACCTGGTTAAGGCCTGGCATGTAGTAGGTGCTCAGTAAATAATTGGGGGGTCTGTGTCTGGGCTGTTTTCTCTGCTGCTGAGGCCTCACTGGGGGCTGTGGTGGGGCTGTGAGCTCCTGGGGTGGAGGCCCTGTGGCCCGCTGCTCAGCTGTGGCCCCAGTGCAGTGTCTGGCATACAGAAGGTGCCTAATAAATGGGTGTTGAGTAAATGGAGAGAGACCTGGCCCTTGACCTGGCCCCTTCTCTCATTCTTTCGGGGGAGACTTTAGGGCAGACAGCTAGGGTGAGTGAGGCCGGGGGTCTGACTGTGGCCCAGTCACCTCTTCTCTTGGGTCTCAGTCGATCATCTGTGAAGTGGGATCAGAGCGCCGGGGGGGAGGCTTCCGAGAGCACCCAGGTTGGGAGAGTGGAAATGTGAACCTCTGTGTGTGCCTTTGGGGGAGTCTCAACAGAGGTGGGGTGCGGAAAGGCAGGGCTCCGTGGAGGAGGGCATGTGAGCCTCTGCGATGCCAGAGCCTTGGTACCTGCCATCCAGTCCAGCCTTCCCTTGGACAGGTGGGAAACTGAGGCCCAGCGAGGGTAGGCGAGGGTTCTACGGGAGAAGAGAGCCTCCCCCTCCTAGTGTGTCAGCTCTACCCCCTCCCCAACGCACTTCCTCCTCTCGCCCCACCGATGTTCTGCATCTCGAGGCTTCCTGCCCAGCTGCTGAAGTGGCAGCTGCAAAGGCCGCGTGAGGCTGTGGGCGCCCTGGGGACCCTGGTCCAGCCCCTGATTAGCCTTCAGCCCTGCAGCGCCAGGCACGTTTCACTTGGCGTGGCCTCTAGGGTCTTGGGGTCTGGACCCTCCTCACCCTGGTCCGCCGGGCCCGCAGTTTGGCCCTGTTGCCGCCTTCACTCCCCTCTTCCGCCCAGGCCGCCGGCCTCCCTCCCGCGGTGCCTCCGATGCGCCAGGCCTCCTCTGCCTGGGCCTTTGCCCCGTGCCCCCGGCTGCCCTCTCCAGAGCTCCACGGGGCCCTCCCTCATTGCTCTCAGCTCTTGCCCGAACGCCGCCTACACCCCGCGCCTCTCCTGGCTCCCTGGGCAACACAGCAGCCTCCCTTTCCCCGCTTCCTGCTCCTGCTTTTTTCTCCGTAGAACTTAACGCAGTCTGCCACGTTATGTTTTATCTTGTTTGTTGTCGGTCTCCCTTGGGTGCAGGGCAGGCTCTGTCTCCTGAGCTGCCCTCTGGGGCGGAGCCGGGCCCCCTGCAGCTCGCCTGGGGCTGTGGCCCCCACGTTGTGAGGGACGTCCCCGCGGTGGGAGTGGGCAGCCTGCGGCCCAAGAGGGACAGCCCCAGCCAGAGGTGGCAGCAAGGTGGGGGACAGCGGTTGGGACCCTCTGTCCCCGAAGCCTCCTCACAGCTGCTTGGTGGCTTCCCCAGCAGAGCTGGGCTG